TTTCCAAAGTTAAAGCAAAAGATCTAATCTAAACACACAATATTAGGCAGGATGTATTTGTTTGGAAAAGAACCCACTCTTTTGTGAAATTAAGAGGGTATCTTTGAATATTTTATCATTGAATGTTACTTCTTGCGAAATGTAAAATGTAAATGGCAATTTGTTTGATGTTAGATTCCTTTGAAAAACTAAATTATTTAAGACCCAAAAATGCATATATTGAATCAAGAAAATCAGTTTTAAATACAGAATTTGATTATTGGGGCCATTTTTACCTACCTGTCATATGGGGCCATTTTTACCGGGGCCATTTTTTCCGGGGCCTTTTTTTCCGGGGCCATTTTTTCCGGGGCCATTTTTTCCAGGGCCATTCTTACCGTACACCATATTGAATATCAGGTGATCCCGTTCATACAGTCAGTGTCAACCTCATAACAAGTGCTTGTGCAATAACTACGATATCACCGTGAGTAACTTACACCGTCGGAACAATAAAGGCTAGTGGAACCTTGCTTGTGTGAAATATGTGTAATAAATCTTTTTATCACTTAACTGTCATTGATTGTTCACACAGTGTAATTTTTATGGTCACACACAGTGCAAAAAAACTCTAAGGGTATGTTCACACATCCACGGATTAAAATTCCAAAGTGTTCACACAAACGGCGTTCGCTATATTAACACTGGTATATTTATATATATTAAAACTATATTAAAACTAGTAGTAATACAGGTATATGGGGGAATAGTTTTTGGTTATAAATAATGTACGGGTTCTTAACTGTAGTAAAATTAACAGTGCATCATTAAAACTTTTAAATCTGTGAATTGTTCAAAGTGAACTTATATGATTATTGTATTTTGAATGAACAAATTTACTTCTGATTTTTCAGCTAGCATTGTGGAACAGTTTTTGGTGTTGCAGGTTTTAATAGACAGTCTAAATAGGTTAAAATATCTTACAAAACATAATCAACAAATCATACATTATAACTAAGTAAAATGCAATAGAAAAAGAACCCCTTTACCATTTCATCTATAGAGAGCACAGGAAAGAGTTTCCATGTTTTTGTTGTTGGGGGGTGGGGGGAATCACTCGAACTGACCACTAATCGGGCTTGGGGCCCACTCAGAACTTGCGCAGTCTAGTGTCTTTTTCTGATGTGGAAATCCGACAAAAATAAGGCTGTAAAAACTGTCAATTTTTTTTTCAACTCAGGAATTGATAATTAAATATGATACTCCTTGGAGAGAACAAAGTGGCTTTCTAACTTTGTTCAAATCAACAAGAGTGCTTGAAAGTTTGTCAATGTAGTGGCCTGTTAGCGTCAGTATAACAGTCTCAAAGTAAGTTTTAAAGACATTGTCGCATATGTATAATTTAGACCATTGACTATTTTACCGACTCAACTGACATATATATTTTTTTTTTCAATTAAGGAAAGTTTCATTTCAACTGCAAATTGAATCACTGTTTTTTTGAAATGTAAAAATACAACATTACAATTTCAACTAAGTAGGAAATATTTTATGGGAATTATGATGGTATTTATTGAACATTTCCTGATTAGTGACATATCAATTATGCAAATGAGCAATTACCATACTCATCTACCAAAAACAGGCTCCATCTTCTTATTACCATCTTGCATTCTACCAAGTTTGAAATCATTCAGACTTGCACGGTTTCAGTCGTGGTAAAAATCACTTTACCCAACAAAAAGGAAGACGCTGACAGCATGAAGAAGAACATGGCTAAAAATATTAGCCTCCCCGGAGCTTCGCTTCTTTAGGGAGGCTAACAAATTTGCAGTTTATTTTGATCCTGATACAGAATAATCAGGGAAAAATCTACAAATTTGAAGCAGGAGGTCCAACAACGAGTGCTAACAAACAATGACATGAAGTTCATGTGTTTCTCCAACAGGGCAGGGAGAGAGAATATTCCTCAAAATCACTCCTTATACAACCTCTCTGCATACAGAGCTGTGACCACAAGTTACTGAGGACCACTGCTACTATCATACTGTATTTCAACCCAAAGCCTATAGTAGAATTATATATTAATTATTTACATTTATTTACAGGATTATATCAAGATGGCTACATATGAATTAAATCAGTTTTCGGAAGATATTGACAAACTCATCGAGTGTGCCATATGCCTTAAGAGAATCCAGAATCCAAAATCCCTCAACTGCCAGCATAACTTCTGTTTGGCCTGTCTGGAAGATTGGGTTAAGAAGTGGCGTAAGCTGACTTGTCCAACTTGCTCAAGATCATATCCCATTCCAGAGGGCGGGCTTCAGAAGCTTCCCACAAACATCTTTCTGAATAACTTATTAGAAACACTTGAACAATATGATAAATCACCTACAGATTACATCACAAAATGTGTTTGTGGAAAAGCAGAAGAATACTACTGCCAGGATTGCAGACACTGCTTGTGCTCTTCTTGTACAGACAATCATAAAATATTACCATTTGTGGCAAATCACAAGCTACACACAGTGGAGGATGTGTACTTAATGACACCACAGGAGTTTGCTATGTTAAACACTCCGTTGTGTTCACTTCACTCTAAGCCTTTGGAGTTGTACTGCCAAGATTGTAAAACTTCAATATGCAAGCAATGCATATTTATAGAACACAAGGAAGGGAAACACAAAACAATCAGTTATTCAGAAGCATTTAAAACATTTAAAGAAACTTCGGCAACTCTAAAGGAAGCTGTTCATGATTGCAAGAACAAATTACAAGGTGGCCTCAAAGCAGTTACTGAAAATACTATAAAATTAAATCAATGTAGAGGTAATGCTTTGAATGAAATTGACATTCTTGTGCAAGATATAATCCAGAGAGTTACGGAAAATGGAAATAAGTTAAAAAAAGAAGTAGAGGCAGTCTATAAAATGAAAAAGCAGGTAAATGATGAACAAGTGGATGAAATGAGAATAATGTTATCTGATGTAAATATAAAATTGTGTTTTCTAAATCTGTTATTGAATAATGATGAGGCAACTGCAATGAAATCAATTGAAACAGTTATTGCAGCACTGCAGGATAGAATCAATGAAATGCCCAAGACAGAGCCAAAGGATAATGGTAAAATTTTATTCACTACAGACAAACGCCATATTTCTTCTTTGCAGCACTGTGATATAGGAAAAGTAGAAATGAAAACGAAGGCAGTGGAGTCTCTAACATTAAAGCGAGGGGCGTCTGCCAGCCAAGGTCAACGTAATTCTGCAAAACTAATAAAAAAAAATGAATGTGATGTAGATGAAAATCACCTAGCGGCAACATGGACACATCCAACAAGAGAAACCAACATCACTCAACTTAAAGATGACAATGGATATTATGTTGCGACAGAAAAATCAGCAAGGCCAGGTGTTTGTAGATTTAATGTGGGTGTTGATGATAAACCATTCAAGCAGTCACCGATGGTAATTAAAGAGAAAAAAGGATTAGTAAATACCATTCAAATATACCAAAAATACAAGTTATTTGGTCTTGTTTTGTGTGAAGATGAATGCTTGTTGGTTTCATGTGGTACAAATGAAATGTACAAGTACAAGCAATCTGGAGAATACACTGCCAAGATTACACTACCAAAAGGTGTTGAAATATTTAAAATGTGCAAAATGAAGAATGGCAACATAGCAGTCAGTGATGAATGTAACAAATGCATCAAAATAGTTAAGATGAATGGTGAGGTGGTCAAATCAATTGGTCAAGGAATACTGAGGGATCCAGCTGGGATCCATGTGGATGAGTCATCAAACGTTGTGTATGTAGCTGATTGGAAAAATAAATGTGTGTACGTGTTTGACATCGAAAGTGGCAGAATGATCAGAAAAGTAATGTCACCAGGCAAAACAATAAATGTCCATGATGTTGCACTTACAAAGCAAGGACATATTCTTGCATTAGAGAGAGATACTAAACAGTCTTGCAACAATAAATTGCAAGGATTTAGTAATGAAGGATTGTTCATGAGAGTACTTATCAAAGGTGATGAGCATGGCATAGCGGGTTTTCGAGAAGTAGTAGTTGATGATGATGATAACATAATTTTATTAAGTAAACAAAAAATATACCATTTCAGCAGTGATGGAAGTTTTATCAAAAGGATTGATAAACCGGAAGATGGGATCACTGATCTTGGTGGAGTATGCCTAATTTCACAGCATCCGTGGAGAGTGGCGGTAGTAAATAATGGTGACAAAACTATAAAAATATATAATTACTAAAATGTATTATAAACAGGGCCTCCAAGAGCGGCCGTGGGCCACTAGTTGTGGTTGGGGCTGCCTTGGGACTTCCCTGGGAACAATCCCTGTTGCGACCGGCGTTGAGAGGATTTGGTTAAACTACAGCCTTTTAACGGAAAAAGGGGTGGAGGCCGGGCTCCCCTTAAATCTGCCACTGGTCTAATATATTAATTCAGTACGGTATTTATTTGACAATCAAATCTCTATCAGATCTGTTCAAATTTTCTAACTTGTATGTATATTGACAATGTCCAGGTTCCAAGCCTTTGATAATTATTAATTAAAACATAAAGAATTTACTATTTGATACATTGCAAACAAATTGTAGAGTAGAAGTCATAAAAATATTCATGATAAAGAATTAATAATAAATGTATTATCTAATCGCCAGCATGCAACATTTGGTACTAAGGGAAGAAAAATTATAAAGAAAAAAAAAATTAATTCAAAGTGATTAATTACACGATAAATTATTTAAAATTCTCGTGATGATACTGGATGAATGTATACATTTAATGATTTTTATTTATATATTTTATTTAATTATTTTTTACCTAGTTATCTCGGGCCCCTCTCGGGCTCGGGACACTTTTCCTGGATACCAATGCCTCTCGGCGCGACTGAATATAAATCTGCTGATGTCACTTGTTTTATGAAATATTTTATTTGATTTAAAGTAGCAACAATAAAAAATATGCTTTATTTTCTTTTTGTAGGCCAAATGTTATTCTACATTAACCTAAATTAGAGTACAAAATAGCAAAAAATTAAACCCTATAGTCAACTTCCTCAACAGATCTTTTTCAGATCCCTGTAGACTCCCAACTGGAGTCTCCCTGGCCAGAAATTAAGGAGGTCTCCCACATTCCTGCTACTGAGTAAGCATGACAATAACCCATCTCCCGCAAATTTATAATACAGCGCATCCTCTAATTCTGAGACCCCTCTAATTCGAGACCACTTTTTCAAAGAACCAATCTATTAACACTAAGTTAACCCTCTATGCGAACTGAACCTTGAGGTCTCAAAGGTGGTCTCAAATTGGAAGGCGAACAGTATTTGCATGTTTTCACTGTTTTATTATCGATTGTCTCACAGGAGTCATGATGTTGGGTATCACTATGTGTGGAAAAAATAAAATATGTTAAAAAGCTTATTAACCAGATCAGTGGCAGATTCAAGGGGTGGGCCCCCTAAATATTTTCAAAAATAAAAAATAGAGAAAAAAGAAAATTGGATTCAAATTTAAGTCTGAGATTGCCATTCCAGCATCCAGATATGTTACAATCATAAAATTTCAACCATGGTGGGGGTAAAGTGATCTAAACCCTTTATCTGCGAAAGTTCCTTCCTCAACATCTTATGCCAAATTCCTATATCCACCCTGCAGATCTTTTGAAATTGACTTCTTCCACTTTTTGGGATCCCTGCTTTCTAAGTAAGTACTCGGTAATTAGAAAAAAAAACTAAACAAATTTCTATATTGTATACGTATAAAAGAAAATTATATAAAGTTGACAGCTGTGATAGCTATAATATGTAAAACATTTATAATAACAATAGTAACTTTTTTATAATGAGGATGATGATGATGATGATGATGATGAAGATACATAATGTTTCTTGTTTTCAGAAGAAACTGAGGCTTTTTTAAATTCTTCTCTTGAAGTTTTTTTAATTTTGAAAATGTTATATAAGTTGTTTTTTCTGCTAAGCACATTTGGAGAGCCTTTTGATCTTAAAGCTTTGGCTTTTCAGACAATTAGGCAGGCATGTGCTTGGCTCAGTGAATTGTGTTTTTGGAACTTTAGTTTTACCTTAATATGTTTGTATGCTTGTTGTTATATTTCTGGTTGCTTGTTTGTCTGAGAAATGTCTAATAAAACAGTAAAAATAAAAAATAAAATAAGTAACGTCAGTGAGACTCAACAGGACTGCAATGGAAATAACAATGTGGAGTATTCTAAGTATGCAAATCCAAGCACAGCTGGTGCATTTCTTAAAGCTATAATAGAATGAATTTCTGTGTTTAGTCTTCAAAATTTGTTTGTATCTCTGTCTACTTATATGTTAATGAATGCATGTTTATTATTTGTAATTTCTGAGTTCCTAACAATAAAATCAATCAACCAATAACAATAAAGCTATGGATGTCATGGGACATCCATGACTCTGATGCAGACCGGGAAGGGGTAATTCGCTTCGGTAGTGCACTTATCACGATCAATACCAGCAATCATGTTAATTGTTCCTTAGCTCTTATCTTAAATCATACCACCTGTCTGCTATAGGAAAACATACTGCTCCCCCCACCCCCCCCCAATCCAAAATTTCAGACGGACACGCCACCACTGCTCTGATGAAGGAGGACGTTGAACTTGGCTGCTTGTATCTTGGGATTTCGCAAGCTATGTGCAGGGACTCTGCAGGTCTCCTGAGGACTGCACTGTAGTAGCTTAATGCTGTGGTCTCTATTCAGATTTAGATTCAATTATATTGGTCCAATATGGAAATAGCAATGAATACATTTTCAGGCCATTAAAATTTTTATTAAAAAAATAGATATTCCATTTAGATAAATTAAAGTGGCTAGTGAAATACTTAAAATGAACTCCAAAAAGAAAATAACATGATATAATTAAAAGATCACAATATATTAAGAGAGTAATTCAACATAATAAAATTGTTTTGTCTGAAACAGAATTAAGTATAAGTTATAGAGGAATGCAACATGTGTACAGCTGCCACAAGTGTTTTTATAAGCTAAAAGTTAGCTAAATTTCTGGGTTTTCGAACCATCAATGTTGTTACGATAACTGTCAGATGTTTAGGGTAAGTTTATAGAATTGTTTGGTTATATTCATATTAAATGACACATGATAGTTTTAAAGAAATTAACGATATTCTAGTAGCATTTTAAATTCTTTGTTAAACCAACGTATCCATTGATATACAAGCCTGTAGACAGCATGTTAGTTTAACGATGTAGCAATCTACAGCTACATATCAGTCAGTGCGGTGTGTACCGTACTAATTTAATGTGTGTTAAATACGGTTGTTATATTCATTATTGAAATAAATTAGTTACTTCATTATTGAAATTATAATTGTTATTTAAGATAAGTTATAGGTCTTAGAATTTGGCTAAATGGTGTACGGTAAGAATGGCCCCGGAAAAAAATGGCCCAGGAAAAAATGGCCCCGGAAAAAATTGCCCCGGTAAAAATGGCCAAGGTAAAAATGGCCCCAAATGACAGGTAGGTAAAAATGGCCCCAATAATAAAATTCTGTATTAAAAATGATATTTAAAAAATCATTATATGCATTTTTTTTAACTGAAATAATTTAGTTTTTTAAAAAGTAATCTAACATCAAATAAATTGCCATTTACATTTTACTTTCTGTAGGAATTACATATTCAATGATAAAATATTCAAAGATAGAAAAAAGTCATGAATAACACTTTTTATTTATTTTTTCATTTAAATGTTTAAAAAGTAGCAACAACATAATCCATAAATCAACATAAATCATGCATTTATTAATACTAAAACAATTTATTTGTGGCCAATTTCAAGGAAGCGGAATCACAATTTTTCAGAAATTCAATCCGGGTATTGGTAAACCCCACAAACAATGAGTTTATATGAACATCAAATTATTATAATTTTTTTTTTTAGAAAAAGAGAGTTCTACAATCGTAATTAAAGGGTTTGGATGGGGTTCGCAGTGTGTTTGGAGGATTGTGGTGTATTTGCAAGTATTTTTTCACCAAAAAAATCAACATTTTAACCAAAAATAGGTTCTTATAAATATTTAATTTTCTTATTGATATACCAAGTGAGTCAATCACAATTGAATTGTTTGGTTTTCTACAGTTTACATTATTTATTATAGTTTTAGGCACTTAAATTTACTTGGCGGGGAGTAGAAAAAATTAAATAAGTTGTTTAAATAAATGTATCCCAAATGCATAAAGTGAGACTTGTAGGTATGACTTTATAAAACAATACGATTTTTTATATTATATTCGTGCATTCATGCATTTGTCATAAAATTAAAGACTCTCTTGTTAACTCCCAATGGACTCTTAAAACCAATTATTAAAGTTAAGTTTATGGAGCTGCTAACAGCTCCCTCTGGACCATTTGACAGCTCACTCTCAACTATCAGACAGCTCACTATGGACCATTTCTGCTAACGGGGACTTTTGCCTCATGGGAAAAGATGAAGGGGAGGCTAGCCGGCAAGCTAGTTCGCCTAACGAACTCGCTGTGGGTGAAAATGATGTCATTGCACAATGACCTCCTAAGGAGAAACCGGTTTCTGTTCGTGTTCAAATTAAACTGCAATGCGGTCTTTGTTTATAAACAACTATGAAAACCAGTTTCACTGAATACCATACTTTTGTATTTTGTCAGTAGAAACAGGCCCCAAGAGACACTTGACCCCAACCTTTGACAAATCACATCACACTGCGGACCACCCAGGCTCAGACAGAATGTTTTGCTGCAGATTTTTTTTCAAACATAACTACTTTTTTTTGCATTACTTAGACCCATAAAACACAAAAAATGCTCTAGATTTGAGGCTTTACACCCACCAGGGTCCTTGGGCAGGCCCATCCCATGCCCAGTGAACCCCCTTGAAATAACCTGTATATATATATACATACATATAAATATATATATATATATATATATATATAT